CAATCAATATATATATCTGTATATCCTGAAGTAAAAATCTGTTTGTTCCACAACAGCAAAAGGAATTTGAAGACAATTTAGACAATCCTCATGGCGATGACTGGAGAAAGGAGCAGATCTGTGCAGCTGCCACACAAGAACAAAAACAAGAAAAAAAAGAAAAAAGAAAAGAAAGTGTTCTGTCGTGACCAACAGAGCTGATTTAGGGGCTCAAAATCAACTATTAACCCCGCACTTGTTAATGGAGACAATAGAAGGAGGCTGCCTGTAATGAAGTCGATGCCCAGGAATGAATCTCAGACAGAGAGGTGTGGAGAGAGGGAGAAAGAGAGCGAGGGAGAGGAGAGGGTGATGAAGGGGGGGGGCAGAGTGCAGGAATTCATCATGCGCGGACTCTCGTCAGTAACGCTCAATAACGCTGTTAAAACCCACCTGATTGTTATCCGCTCCTTCTCTAAGCTCTCCGCACTTTGCGCATATAAACCCTTCCCGTGAAGTCCGCTCGCGCTGCTCCGCTTACGCGCGCGCACACTAACACCACCAACACCCCCCCTTCTCCAGGTTGTCGGTGCTGAAAAGGACAGCGCACGACACGAAGCTGCCACACGAAGCGCGAACCCCCCTGTCCCCCAGCTCTACGTGAAACATATGTATGTATTGGAGGCGTCGGGTCTGCTTCTGCCGCCTGCACCAAATCATCCTCTAATTGCGCCACTGTCGTCCAGCAGAATCCACCCATTCAATCAAGTTTATTACCAGTCAATCGGATCGATTGTTTCCACAGTGGAAGGCGTTGGTTATTAGAACACGTTAATAAGTCATCAGAATATGCTCAGGCGGTTGTGCCACACTCTTAATTGCTTCAACTTCAGTCCGTTTTTTGTTTGTTTTTTTTTACTGCGCCCATTGATTCCCTCTTCCACACACCCCTCCTCTTCCTCTTTGTACAATCATAGCGCCATGGTTCTTTGTGGTGAATGGAATTAAACAAATGAACCGCATCCCATCTGCTGTGTAATAACAATTTGATAAGCTGTGTGGAGTCAGAAACCAGGCAATTGAAACAGACCCGGGTGTTCCCTCATGTGACAGCGTGTAAGATGTGCGCAACACGTCCAATTTGTGGCTTTTCCGATTCGGAGGGAGGTGCATAGACGCGGAGCAATGGCACCATCTAGCGGTGGATGTCTTGTAATTGCAACAGGAAAGGGGCAGGTGAGCGTTATCAAATTCCTAAAGAAAATTAAAAGAAAGGAAAGAAAGAAAGATAAAAAGAAAAAAGTCATGGCAGGAGTTGAATAAAACAGTTTTGAAGTTTTTATTTTTATAAATATGTACATGAGCTTTAATTCTATGGACTCAATTGGCCAATATAAGAAGTGTACTAAAATGAGCTTTCAAGTTAAAGTGTAACCTTCATGTCTACACTAGTAATGGGTACATTTTGTTCCATCTCCTTTCATTTTATACCTCTGTACATAAGTTGGCTTGTTTGTTTGTTTTCAGGTCCCCTTAGCTCAGGACGTCAACTTTGAGGTAGGTCCTGTGACAGTGATGACTAAACTCTTCACGTGCCCAATTCCTTTCAGTTTATTTTCGAAATCTTCTTCAAAAACGTTACATTTGTTCTTTTTTAATGTTATTATGGTACAAACAGCTGTAATAAGCACTTATACAAAAGTGCTTTCATTTCTAGATAGGTCTACTGAAATTGGAGTAAGTGACAGATTTGTATCGGGCAATTTTAAAGGTAGTCGAGTATTTCCACCAGATACATCACTTATGCACTTACTTCTTTAATTAGACTTTGCTAGTACATGGTTGGACCTTGTGTTTTTAGAACTGCTTTAATTATGCATGCCTGAGACTCAACAAGATGCTGGAGACAGTCCTCCAAGATTCTGGTCCATATTGACATGATATCATCACACGGTTGCTGTAAATTTGCTCTATTGGATTGAGTTCTGGTGACTGTAGCATTAATTTGACTACAGTGAACTTATTGGTTTCATGTTTAAGAAACCAGTTTGAGATGATTTGAGCTTTGTGGTATGGCTATCCTGCTAGAATGGACCACCAGAAGATGGGTGGCTGGACTTTTAAGGGGTTAGCAACAATATCCAGGTATGACAGTATCTTCTATTGTCCAGTTTCCTGTTCTTAACTGACAGGAGTGGCTGCTGCTGTAGCTCATCAGCTCTTCAACCACTGATATCTGTGTTCAGAGATGCTCTTCTGCATATCTTTGCTTCAACGACAAGAACCATCCTCCTCTTACCTGTAGACCCTAGAGATGGTTGTGTAGATCAGCAGAAAGAAGAGTCCATCTGGCACCAACAGCCACACACAAAGTCTCTCAAATCGCTTTTCTTCCTCATTATGCTGCTCAGTTTGATGTTCAACAAGTTGTCTTGACAGGCAGACACTGCTAGTAGCAGCATTGACCTACTGCCATGTGATTGGTTAATTATATGTTTGTGTTAATGAGCAGCTTAATACGGTGTACCTAATAAAATGGCCAGTGAGCATGTGTAACCTGCAATCTGACAATGTTGTTTGCAGAGATTGAAATTATTACCCAGTGTAACGGTGTGGCTCACTGTCTATGGACCTTTGGGCTTTGACTGTATTTACGAATAGAGATGTGTTCATATCTTTGAATAATATTTCCTGCACTCAATAAAATGTCTCTTACTGTCACCACCACAACTCAGTGGCATTAAAAAATAAAAAGATGCATTTCAGCAATGTTGGGCGGGGAAAATGGAAAGCTGGAAAAAAAGCCAAGTCTCCAAAGACATAATTCTTGAAAAACCAAATGAAATCTGCAAACGCTGTAAACAAACAAGACTGATTGAAGTAGGTGACTCACACTTCAAAGAGAGAAAAAAAAGACAAAGCCACACAACAACCTACTGAGGTTTAAAGCAGTATAGTTTTATTTAAGTGGTTGGTTTCAACATTCTTGTCACTGAAAGGCTTTTCTAACGCTTGTCAAATGCTCTAGAAGGTGAGCTTAATAACATTACAACTTATGATTAAAGAAATGTCAAAATTAAAAAATAATAATAATAATCTAAAAGTCTCTTGAGGTTTCATTCCTGCTCTCTTCTGGACACATTTCAACAACAAAATCTCCTCCTTCAAACAGTGTAAGATTTAAAAAAAAAAGAAAAGAAAAAGAAAAGAACTAATGGTGGAACAATGCAAGCTTGCCTCAGCAATAAACAATTACAGAGTTGTAACTAGTCAGACGTGTTCAAAGCATATGGCCAACCAACACAAGTGAGTAACTATTTTGACTATTAGAACTATTATTTATACCATCCGTGCAGGATGGATCGATATATACACACTGTCAAGACCTCGCTGCTCTAGCATTTTGGGTTATAAAAATAAAGTTTGGTCTTTCCTTTTTTTCAGGTTTTGTTCCATTTCATGGCTTTCTGTTTGAACAGTAAGACATATCTGCTTTTGGTCTTCCTTGATCCTTTCTTTCCAACTCTTACGTGCCAGTGTCTCAAAGACTACCATCAGGAGCTGTTAGCAAACAAGTAAACCCCAACCTTTCCATCCTTCTCAAGTTTGGGTACAGGAAATCATATTTTGAATGGAATTCATACAGTACTTGGTAAAAAAACAACAACAACAAAAAACAATCTTACAGGTAAGAAGGGAAAGAAAAGTTCATGCCCCTGCATGTTTAAGTGGATGTAACAAAATACTTAATGCCAATTGTTAAATAAGGGGAATTTAATAGTTTTGCTTTCTGGATTTGTGGCTTTCTTATTATTCAAACCTGCCATGCGTGCTGCTTTAGGCACTGAGGTTGAGACACATCTACCAGGACCTGTGATGGAAAGTACAGTAACTAAAGGAAGAATCAGCAAGATGACAGTGGTAAGAAAATAATGTCTTCCAGTTAACAGTTTAAGATCTAAGGCAGTATGGCTGTTGGTGACCTGTCACATCCTGCAAACATTCAAGCACACATTACTCCACATAATGTGCTGTTCAGTTCCTTCTTGCTGTGATTTAGCATGCAGGGTGTCAGTTTGATAGTCCAAATGTTTCCCCTGCTGTACCACGTGTTGTTCCAGACTTTTATAAGTGGGAATTTGATTCATTTCTATAAAGTGAAAGATTCCTTCCAGAGTACAAAAACGTTCTCTGGAAGGATAACCTGGTGGTACAGGGTACTGTCATGGTAAAGGAAACACCCTTTACAAACATGCAATCACACCAAGTAGATAAGGCAGAAAAAACAGTGATTACCACATGAAACTGATTGAAGTGATATTAGAAGAAGCACGCAGACATTTTGTTTTTTTTAATTTTTAAAGTAAACTTAAAAATCCACTCTGGTATTTCCTTTTCTTTGGCTGTACCCTGTAATTCATAACATCTGAACTTGTTGGTCACTTTAGAGCTGACTAAATCCGACAAGTTTAAATTTCTGGGACAATGTACGTGACAAAATAGAGACTATTCAATTCTAAGGCGAGCATCAAACACTTTGGCTACAGTTTCTCTTCCTGGAAAGACAGCAGGGCACAAAAGTGGTCCAATCAACACAGGAATCAAGTAAGAGGGGGAAAAGCAGATGAACCAGCTGAATATAATAGGTCTGCATCACACCCAATTTAAGATATGGACATACATATAAGTCATAAATTAATGAAATGCTGCTGTAAGGATATAGGTTCATTTTGTGTAGGGTTAATTTAGCTTTATCTCTCAGTCTGTTTTTGCAGAGACCACAATCCAGGTCTGATTTCCCTCCCTCTCTTACACACACACACACACACACACACACACACACACACACACATCCATAGATTCACTTCATCCTTTTACTAAAGGAAGACAGAATGCACACAGCAGTACAAACTAGTCATCTGCATATGGATCCATATTCACATCTTGTAGTAGGTAAATAGAGAATATATATACCAGTAGTGAGTCTCTGTGTAG